TTGTTGCTCCATGTATTGTCAATCTTTGCTCTGCTCTATTTATCATACTCGGATCTGCTCGACAACGATCAGCAGCTCAAACAAGACGAACTCTAAAAGAACATGTTTATAATCAACTTAGTGAACACAAACAACTGCTAATTAGTCCAATGATTCTTCTAATTCTGTCCTTACCCCGTCTGATTATGTCAATGTTATCTGAATGTGTCAATCCATCTAATCATCGATTGTTATTTATTTTTGGTTATTTCATTTCATTTACTCCATCGATGCTTATCTTTATTGTCTTTGTCATTCCTTCAGCATTGTACAGAAAAACATTTCAAGAATCATTTAAACGATCGCGACGACTAATTCATTAATAATCAATGTTACTTCATTATTTCAGAACTTTTCTAATTTATTGGTATAGTATTCACTTCGATTTGACAATTAATCGATAAATGTAGATCAAACAGAACATTTTCCGTCTTTTTCATAGATTATCCGATAATGAACGACAAACTTGATGAATTTCTGGTGATATTATTTCTAACCAGTTGAAAAATGAAGAACACCTCGGATGAAGACGAAATCTCACAAGTTTCGAAAGTATTGTTTCTGAAAAAAGTTTTCATACCAATTTCTCAGCTTGTTATGTAATAAAGTCTTATGTCAATAAAATTTTCATCCCTAAATAAATTATTTATAGACTGACAATGATTAGACAAAATGTTGGACTAATGATAAAATAGAATTCAAACCTGCTGAACATATTAAAATTAGTGTCTGAGATAGTTCTCTAAAATGATCATTTTAGAAAGTTGTGATGAGGTTTAATATCTTAACACTTTCATCGATTATTTTTAACGAAATGAATAAGATTAGATTTAATGAATTGATTAGATCGTTTTTAGAGAACACCAAGCGATGTATCTTTTTAGAATAATGATAAATATCAAATACGAATAGTATTATTTTTTATGTCGCATTTATATACTCATAAACTTCATTAGCTCTCTCTCAATCGCAGCCAAGAATGAAATTCGATCGAAAAATTTTACTTAGATTATCTGAGACAATCAAAAGCTGATTAGTAAGATCTGCTCTATTGTAGCCACCCTATCGCAAACATCCATCTGTGGAATATCAAAAAGTGCTTCACTTTGTTTTATTGTCAGTAAAACGAGTAATTGTAGCTGGACAAAACAACCGAATCCTTTTACAATTCAATATGTCACATAGAGAAAATAAGTGAATGAAGCAAAACTGTTATTTGGATTGAATTGAATAATTATTTTTCTTACGTGAAGCATAAACACACATACTGTATCAAGAATGAATTTAGACAATTGGAATTGAAAGTGGATGTGGGTGTAAATGAATAATAAACCTTCATACTCTCAACTCGACGTCAAAAACTAAGTATATCACTTGCTTTTGCTAAAAGCATTAACAAATTCATTTGCATCTGCTAGTATTCGAATACCAATGGTACCAGGCCGACGTCGATAGGCACATACATTTTCAATGGGTAAAATAAAATATTTCTCTTTTAATATTTATAGGTCTAAATAAATTACCATGACATTTTCATCATTTACGTCAAACAGAAAATCGAGCAAAAGAAGAATTATCTATTGGAATATCTACTTGTGCTCATCTTGTACTACCAGGTACATCAAAAAGAATTTTAAATGGTCTTGTATCAAAACGAACAAGATATCATGGAAAAATTCGAAATGATTTATCTGCAAGATATAAACGGTAAAATGAATGACTATTTCAGTATATTACATATTTTTGTTTTTTTTAGTATTCTTAGCCCATCTGATTATGAACTGAATAAACGTGATGCATCTGAACGTAAAGATAGTTTTACTGATGATACTCGATTAAGTTTCAGTAGTAGTAATGCTCATAAAAAATCGAATGCTGACGGATCAATGAAATCATTATCTTCTAAAAGTGAGTTAATTAAATATTTTAGGTTTTGTTTTCGAGACAAAAATATATTTTAGGAGAAAAAAAAGAAGCAATTATTTGGGGACCCACTGGTGTTGAACCATGGAGTGCATCAATGATTACTGGTATTGATTGGAAATCTTTAACTATTCCAGCATCACTTCCAACAACATTTGATGTTGTACCATCTGCTGAAGAATTAAATCGTGATTATACACATAATTCATATACATTAATTCATGCTTTACCACCACAAGATGAATATGATCGAAAGATAAAACATATGTTTAATGCAAGTAATAATCATGAAAAATCAACTCCGTAAGATTTCATAGATTTGTTTTTCTTCTTGAGATTTTGAAATTTATTTAGATGTGATAATATGGAACGTCAAAAAATAACTTTTGATGAATTAATTGATCAACGATTATCACAAGTGAGATATTTAAAAGAAGAATTTTGTTTTTAATTTTTCTAAAATTTAGGGTTTTCAAATGATTGTTGATACTCCTGCACATATTCATCAAAAAATGATTGATTCAATTCGACGAGCTGGTTGTAAAGAAACTGAATATAATCGTTTATTAAGTATTGGTAGAATATATCATACATTAAGTCTTGTAACAGAAGAAAGTCAATCACAAGATACAGTTGTTATTTATGTACAACAACATAAACCTCAGTTAGTAAAATAAAAATAAAAATATTCTATTCTAATTAAATGAATTTATTAAGATATGTTTTTCAACCTAAATCTGTTATGTATAAATATCGTTTTCAATGTCCAGATTCTTCAGATTATGATTTAGCATATTATGAATTACAACTGGATAGTTTAGAATCATTTCCATGGAATTCAGTTGATAATGTTGTTGGAAATCATGGTACAGGTGATCATAAATTATCCGATGTATGTATATATGAAATAGAATTCTTATTTTTCATCATTTCATTCCTCTCGTTATTCATAATACAGAGAGAGAGAGTCGAGGAAGATATATTTGCTTTTCATGTTATTTCTTTTTAGTTAATAAAATATTGGCATACACGTCTTGTTCTTATGCCTGTATCAAAAGATTATACAATTCGAAATATTGAATCTGGTCAAACAAAATGTGATAGTCGTGAAGAAATGTCCCATGAAGATTTTTTTCTTTATGTTGAACATTTTGTTCGATTTTTATTTATGTTTAATAAACTTAATCGAGTACCTATTGGATCAACTGAATGTATACATTGAGTAAAATATAATAAAATTTCATTTAAAAAAGAAAAATTTTGTTTTGTTTTTATTTTCGCCTCTTGATCCATTAACAGGTAAAAAACGAATTGAACCTCCTAAACGTCAAGGAAAAACTTTGTAAGATAGTTTTAGTTTATTATTTTTCTTAATTTAACTTTTTTTGTTTGTTAGAATTACAATTGAAACATTTAAATTAGCTGATATAATGTCTGGTGATAAAGATGCAATAAATAATTTATTAAATTTATTTCGAGATGATCAACAAGGTCTATTATTTGTTAAAGATTCTGTATTACCAGAACATACTTTCATTGCAATTGAAGCTATTTGGTGGTCAATTGAGCATTTTGAAGATATAGAAAATGAACAAACAGCTTTAGATTTATTTCAAGTAAATTTTTTAGAAAAGAAAAGAAAATTCTAATATTTGATCTTTAGTTTTTATTTACTGAAGGACATATTCGACACTGTACAAATATCGAAACAAGTTTTCGTTTTGGATTTTTTCTCTATTATATTGTAACAGAAAGAACACAAACTTGTAAATATATATTTTTTATTTTTTCTGAAATTATTTTTATTATTTATATTTTTAGTTTCTCTTGATTTAAATGATTATGTTGAAGTTGAATTTCATCAAACTCAAACATATATTCCATCAATGGATTATTTAGGTTTTGGTGAATGTAAACCAATGCGTTTATTACCAAAGCTAATTGATAATCCACAAGTAAAAGTTCGAAGAGAAAGATTTAAGATGAACGATGTTAATTTATCTTCAATATCAAATATAAATAATGAAAATTTAGAAGAAGAAGTATCGATTGTTCTTAAACGTGATTGTAATGTTGATGTTGATCCAAAACATATATCAGATAGACGTGAATGGGCAACAGCACATTATCATTCATTCTATAATCCACATTGTTTATTTGAACTTGAAATTCGATGGCTTGTAGCAACATCATGTATACTTGGAGATTTAATTACACAATGGTCACAACGTACAGGAACAATACTTGGTTCAAATCAAGTTGCATTTCATCTTGTACCAATTCCATGTGATCCATTTGCTGAATTTGATGCACTTAGAGGTATTTATATTCAGCATAAGATTTACAAATACTAAAATAAGAAAAAGAATACATCAGAAAAAGAATACATCAGAAACTTTTATATTATTTAGGTCCAATTTATATAAAAATAAATTCCTTATGTCCTCGTGATAAACTTGCGAATCTCCCTGATAAAGATCAAATTCTTCGAATAAATATCTTTCAAGAACTTATACTAAAACGGTTTGTTGAATTTTATTTATTTTCTATTTATTCAATAAAAATATTTTTAGTTATGGTTTTATTTTAAATGCTTGTGTCAGTTATAAAAATGAAAAGATTTATTATGTTCATATTAGTGGCAGTATGTTAGTTTATATAATATCAAATGTTTATAATGTTCATTATAGTAATCGACCAACACGTGTTGTATCAACAGGAATAACTTCAGATGATCAATTATCTCCCCTTGATTATAGATTTTATTGGTGTTGGAATTTTTGTTTAGGAAAAAAATGGCAAAGTTCTCAAACAGGTGAAGAAAAATATCAAGATATTATGTTAGTTGATTTTTGAGCATTTTGTGCCAATGATAATAATCGTTTAGTTAATTTTTGGAATGAATTAAATGATTTAGCAAATGAAAAAAAAATGAAAAACAACGAAAATCTTCCAGTGATAATTAGTTCAATAGAAATCAAATGCCTAGTCTTTCTCTAATTTTTTTTGTAATATATATTTTGTGTGTATATGCCAATAATTGTTATGTATTTTGAGTTTGTGATAAAACAAAATAAATAAAGTGTCTTAACACAGTAACAAATTCTTTGAAAAATGAAACTTTGCTGGTTTTGAATTATTTTATATGATAAATATTTTTCAAGTTAATTAATAATGTTTTGTACATAATGAATGGTGTGAGGAAGTACGCGTATGAGCAAAGATATGGAAAGTATAGTCATCTTTCATCCACACCCTCACCTATCAATTTCAATCAGAGATATTATTTTCAGAGTTTTGCTTTTGCATATATTGATTTTCGAGTTGAATTCATGTACCTTTTTCATGTTTCTTAGAAAGATACATCGTATCGTAATGAATAATTCTGTTTTATATATATATGATATAAAAATACTTACAGTGCATAAAGAAACAAAGAACGTGATTAAAAGTGAATCCTGACAAAGCAGATTATTTAACAGAGTCACATAAAATAATATTAAACTAATCATGACTTATTCATTGACGTCAATCATGTATTGACAATGATAGTTGATATCTTGTTTTCAGTTAAAACACGTCTGATGATTAATGCAGATTTTGAGCAATTCTCTCCTTTCTCTTTATCACGTTCTTCTTCCTCCCTAAAATCTTTTGATTTTCTATAAAAATCAAAACAGAAAGAAGAAAATCATGTCAAGTTTCAATTTCATTCTGTATTTTCAAATTTCGGAAAGAATAAAATTCAATGAAAAATATGAAATCGAATGATCAATTTTGTTCATTAATTCAATCTAAAATCGATTTTTTATGTTACCAACGATGAATAACACCTTCTCTAGAACACTAGTTTTTCTTTTTGTGTGTTATTTTGGAAGAAATGAATGAGAGAAAAGAGAGAGAGAAAGAGAGACATAACTAGAGAGAAAATCTACAATGAGTGTCATTTTGTTTTTATCGAAGGCAAAGAACAAGAAGATTATTCTATTAGTTAACTAATTTATCAAAAAAAACTTGTTAAATGATGTAGAATATGTATGTATTTATCATTATTCTTCTGTTCATTCTCAACAATGAAACATCAGGTAAATACTTTTATTTACCATATGTCAAAGATTAGTCATTGCATAAACGATAATATTCGTTAGAGTTTTAGTTAAACAAAAGGGAGTGAAATAATAGGTTATAGGATTTGACATAGATTTCTATTATGTATTCAAAAGTAATTATAATGATCTCTTACTGCAGCTATGCGAGACATTTTGTGGTTTGAAGAATGAGTGTACTTTAAGTTTAGAAGTATAAGTTGAAATACTGATTGATATTATTGTAGATATCTGAGTTGGTATTGATTGTTAGTTTCAAAAAGATTGAAAACTTGAACATTACTGCAATCTTTTTTCGATATCAAATGTATCTATAGATCTTGAGACGAGAATGAGACACAAGAGGAAGGAAATAAATCTATGTCATCATATCGCATTGTAACATATGGAAAAAAGCATTAACTGACTTTTTTTACAGATGAAATCAAAATGAAAAACAGAAACGATGAACAGGTTAATATAAATAAAAAACAAAGTTTTGTGAAATTATTTCACTATTTTGATTTGAGATAAGATGTAGATCCATTTATTTCATACAGATCACCATCTCCACTATATAAAAAATACTATGACTGATAAAATAATTCTACTGTGTTTGATGCACTCAAAGAGTTTTATGTTTAAAAATAGAAGTGAGAGGTATGAAGTCAGTTGATCATCCACCTCTGTATATAAACATATTATTTACTCTTATAGAAAATAAAAAGGATTTAAAACTTTTGAACTACACAAAAGGAAAGAATCTTTTTTTGTTAGAACATATGAGCTTATCTCGTAGAAATGAATTTGATTGATCAATGAAATGATGAGTATTCTTTATCAAGACTTTCGAGATAGGCTTACTTGTGATAAAATATTAACTTTTAAGCTGTAGAGATGAATACATCTGCTGGAATGAAAGAAAGAGTAGGAATCATATGATAATATAGAACTACTTTGCGAGTGCAAAGTAGTGATTGACACTACCATTATTATCACTAGACTATCATACAAGAATATTGTTGAGTAAGACAACATTTGAATCAAAGGTCAAATATTTATAAGTTTTTCTCATGTTTAAAAAGAATCGATGATTATTGAAATTGTTTTCTCAAAATATTCAAGTTGAAATAATGAGAGGAAAACAAGAAGAGAAAAAGTTTGATTAAATTTAATTATTATTTCACAAAAAAGTTAAAGGAAGTTGGTTCAATTCAATATAAGTTTCCTTCATAATTTCTTCGAAGGAGTATTTAGTTAAAGATTGGCAAGAGAATTTTTTCTTCTCTTTCATATATTAGATTCAATTGAAATGATTTAACATCAGTAAATTCACAATGTTTTTCATATAAAAAGGAGAATTGGTTTTGAATTTTAATAGCATTTTGTTTAGATCTCAATCACTTTCAATAAAATCATTTTCAGTCTAAACAATTCTTTTTTTCCTCCTTCGAATTCATTTTCGTTGAAAAAATAAAAAAGTTTATTTCATTATTTTTTTATTTTGATTGATAATCATATCTTTACAAGGATTGAATATAATTATTTTTCTTTCACAACAAAAAAAAATTAATAAATAAAGTTGATCTTCTTCGATGAATTCATCCCTCTGTAAGTTGATATTCCCAAATCATCTGAGAAAATAGAACAATCATTAAAATCTCTTGAAAATTAATCCTAATGAATTTTTCCAAGAAAGAACATAAATTAACAATTTCATTTCGTTTACAGTTCTTCTCTAATATTCTTTCTATTTTTCTTGTTTTTAGCACTTTCATTCAATCAACCAAAGTTTTGTCCAACACTCATTTGGGATTCCATTGGAATTACTTTTGCTAATCAATCGATTGTTGGTGAATATCCTCTCGCCATTTTTGTGAGCACAAACAACACAATCTATGTCGCTAATAAAGAAAATAACACAATTGTAGTATGGCACGAAGAGAGTGTCAATCCAACAAAGATCATTTCAGGTAATTTCACAGAACCCAATTCTCTCTTCGTGACATCGAATGGTGACATTTACATTGGTGATGGCGAGAAGAATGGTCGAGTACAGAAATGGGTCATAGAAACAAATACTTTTGTCACAGTGATGAATGTTAGTTTTCCATGTGATGGTTTGTTTGTCGATATCAATGATACTCTTTACTGTTCAATGGCTGAGCATAATCAAGTAATGAAAAGATCATTAAATGATGCAGTGATGGCTTCAGATTGTGTTGCTGTTGGAACAGGTATTTACGGAGATGACTCGAATCAACTCGATAATCCATATGGAATCTTTGTCGATATGAATTTTGATTTATATGTAGCAGATTGTGGAAATGACCGAGTTCAGTTGTTCCAGTCGGGAGAATCAAATGGCATCACAGTAGCTGGAAGTACATCACTAAATCCAACAATTATGCTGAGTAATCCAAGTGGAATTATATTAGATGCTGAGAAATATTTATTCATTGTGGATTATGGCAATAGTCGCATTGTTGGTTCAGATGTGAATGGCTTTCGATGTTTGGTTGGATGTTACGGAATGGGTTCACAATCCAATCAATTGGCTAATCCATTTAGTTTGAGTTTTGATCGTTCTGGAAACATGTTTGTTACTGATCAAGACAATGATCGAATTCAAAAATTTCAATATTTCGAAGAATCATGTGGTGAGTTTAGAATGATCGAATAAAGTCTCTAACATAATTTCAGTCAATATTTATTCAGCGAAAATTAAAAAGAAAAACTATGATAGAATATGAAAATGAAACTCCTCATGAATTTCGAATTGAATTATTAAATAGTTAAGTTCAAATTCCAAGTTTCATTCTAATATACTATTGTTATAAAGTAAAAACCTTGCGCATTTGTAATTCTCTACAAAAGACAATCGATAACATTATCATCATGTTAGACGTATGATACAGATGAAAATTAGAATGTCTATGTATCTAGTAGAAAAATCAGAGACAAATGCAGTCCTTTTTGTTCAACTTTATAAATTTTCTTTCATTTACGATTATCTGCGCTTACTTATCGCTGCTGACTGTAGAAAATAATGAACACAATGATTTTATGAAACATAAGACACTGATGAGAAGGAAAGTTTTCATCGAAATTTATTAAATCTTTATCGAACTAAAAACACTTCGAAGTCAATAAAGATGTGAAGAAAAATTTTCAGCGCCAAATTCTGTATTTGAGAACAAAAAAAGTTTCACAAATTGGTTTGAAACCAACAAAAAGTCGTTTTGCCTAGCTGTTCAATGTGCTTTCAAATTCGTAGATATGAAATGCCTGTCAGAGAGAAATGATCCTATGCTCGAGTGTTAACCACAACTCGTGCCGCAATCATAGAGATTCAGAATGTCAACTTTACTCTCGAGATGAGAAAACGATTATGTTCCATTTGCGGTCATGATTTTGGTTGACGGACGAGAATAGAATCAGGATTATCATAAAGAAGTGACATTTAAATGTAGGTCAGTATCTTCGCCGAAAAATGCCAACAACGGGAAGAAGGAAAAAGCTCCATTCTTACCTGGTTATTCAGGAAGCGCTTTATTAGAATAAAAAATAGTTAAAGAGTCGCTTTTGTAACATTGTAATTATGAATTAAAAGTTACTTCCAATCGACATTTTCTCGATGATGTCACGTCATACTCGTAGATTGACTAGAACTTTATGAAATAGTTTCATCAGATAGTATATTGTTATGCTTACTAATATCGATGAAAAAACTAATGTTCTGCATTATACTTATAAAGGAAAAACGTTTGAAGATAAAGATGATAAGGGAGAAGACATAAACTTGTAAGTGTATGACTTACCAGGCTTTCTTAGTTCAGAATGGTACTCGTTTTTGTATACGAGATTTTCTAAAATTTCTTTATTGTAATTATTACAACATCTCTTGAAAAGAAAATGCGGATTCTAAGGACTAATATCGATAGTTATCGTAAGGACGCTAAATAGATAATTTGTTTCATGTTTTTCTTTAATTCTCTATTAAAAGTATTGTTTTAAAACAAACGATTCAACTCTCTTTAGTGAACAGAGTGAAAAGCAAACTAAGAATCTATGCAATCATTTCTTTTCTTTATTGTAAGTAAAAATACTTATTGATTTTTTTTCATTCAATAGATAACTCAGTATTTTTAATAAGCTCAATGTATTTATCATCATTGACCTCGAATAGTTCAATTTATTTTCAAGATTGTTCAGAGTCGGATTCGTACTATGAAGTGATACAAATGAACGTCAATATAACTGGCTATTATACTTTTCTAATCAATGGCAAGATGGAAACCATGTACACTTATATCTACACAAATAACTTCAGTCCATTCGATGTGTCTAAAAATGTCCTCAGCCATAATGGAGACTATGGAAATGAAGGTCAGTTTGAATTTATAGATTTTCTTCAAGCCAACATGAAATACATTCTCGTTATGACAACATCTGCTTCAAATGTAACAGGAAATGTTTCAATTGAAGTATCTGGCCGAAGCTATATCGATTTTAACAGCATCTGTGAGTATCTATAGTGTTTTAATGGATAATCAATTGCACATATCCATATCATCGGTAGAAAATATAGATAAACTCAATCTGTAAAATGATATACAGATATTTCTATTTGATAGAGACTAAGATTCATATCACTTTCTCTCTCAAACACATTTACCGAAAGCGAATGAAAGTG